CACAGAAGGAAGCAGGCTGAGGAAAATTTGGTTGTTTTAAGTAACTGCATCTGGCCTCACCAGTGAAAAAACTACCATTTTCAGATTACTGCTATGCAGGGATAGTGAACCTTTTAGAGCGTTCAGTGAAAACAAGCAGCCCAGCTGCAGCACGAATTAGCCACCCATCTAAGTCATGGTGCAGATAATTCAACTGCATCAGCTCACTTGATCCTCAGGACATCATCAGCCTCATTATTCAATGAAGCAAAAGCAAAGAAAGCAAATTAACGTATCCAAGATTATAAGATAATAAATGACAGCATGGAGATATGAATGCTCCTCTTTCTGACTCTGAATTTACATCCCTGCACTATATTTGTAAGGTGGGAACTGTACCTAAATTGGTCACCTGTCTATATTTCCCCCACAGTTCTCTAATACTAAGAGCCATTTGCTTCATTTTTCTTGCTTTCCTTGTAGAATTATTTGTTTTCTTTTCTCTGTTGAAGCTTTGGATTTCTCTTTTAATTTCTTTGCTGTAATTAGTTACGATCGTATTTCTGACGGGATGATCGGAGTGTTTCTTAGTGTTGTTTATAGATAACGTAATATGACCTAAATAATATCCAATGGCTTGTTCTGGGAAATTTAGCAGATTAGAATAAAAGACTCTTGATTTTATCTCTGCCAGATATAAATATATTACTAAGCCCAAGAAATAACTTTGTGTGTGTGTGTGTGCTTTATAACATAGAAAAATGAGTTTTTGTCTCTAAGTAATTGCTTCCTGGCCCATGCTGGAATAAGCCAGATACTAAGCTTCCTTGACCCCCTGCACCACTCTGCCCTTATGTGTTGTATGCAGATGGTCTCTTCCCTGTGCTAGCACCTCTCCCAGAATTAACGGAGTGTTAATTTTAGGGAGTAATAGTCTGACGTAGGCATGGGCGGGACGGTGTAGGACAAGATCAATGAACCAAGACTGCAGGCCTGAATTACTGAAATGTCTATCCTAGATGCCACTGGCCAGACCTAGGGCAGAAAAAAATGGAGAAGATAAATGTAAGAAGAAATGATAGCATTACATTGAAGAAAAGAGGACAAGAAGAGGACACAAAGGAACACGGGTAAGACTGCTAACGTGGGTGGAGGTCCCCAGGGTCCTGGCTTCACAGCTGGGTTCCAAGTCCAGGCTGAGCACGCAGCTCACTAACAGTCAGGAGTTCGTCCCCCTCATTTCAGCCATAACATGGCTTCCTCCATGTTCTACATCAGTCTAAACTCATGCTGTTATTTCAAATCTCAGTACTTACAGCAGGTTATCAGTGAGGTTCAGCTTTCTAATGCCCTTCGCCTGGCCCACAGATGCCCTAACCTACACTTCCCCAGGCCCCAGGCTCCCACAGGACCCTCCACTACTTGTGACTGTCTCTACTTCTTGCATTGAAGTCACCTTCCTGGCTTTTGAATGCATCTGAGTACAGGGCACTTGGCTTGCACCCTGGGTGGCCTAATCTCTTTGCACCCTGTAAAAAATCATTCCATGTGTCCATGTGCTTCGTCCACTGCCAGATCATGGAGTTGATAAAGGAACAGTCTCCATAAACCTGCCTCACTGCTGCTTTCTTTCACTGCACCTGGAACAGGTTCTGTGCATCAGTTGCTTCTTCTGAGCTCCTAATGTGTGTTAGGGCCTGTCCTAAGCAGCTGACATGGGGCAAGTCATTTAATCCTAAAACACAAAGTGCTGGGAATAGGTGAGGAAATTGAGCTACAGAATACGGGTTTTTGGGGCCAAGTTCCCAAGTGGAAAACCCAGTGTTCCAAACCTTTTTAACTGTGTGTGCCCAATGACCAACTCAGAGACAGCCGCCATCAAGTATGGACATTTAGCAAGTAATTAAATAGAAAGTCATGGGCAAGACAAAGTCACAGCCTCCAGACTTCAGTCTCCACTTTCACGGTAATTCCCTTCCTCTCTGCATCAGGGGTCTAATTAGGCAAAGTATTAAGCGAAGTATTTCATGGGTGCCTCTGATTTCCTAAAGCATGGAGAACAGGTCACATGGATCCATTTGTTGTCCAGAGGAGCCTCTGTCCAAAAGCCAGTCAGGGCTGCAGCTCATCCCCAAGCTAGAAGAGGGAAAACCCTGAGCAAAATTACAGGGCATAGTTTTCAAAGCAAGGCAGGGCTTTACTTTGTTAAGATCTGGGCTGTGTTCCCGGCTTTTTCTATGATGCCTTTGAGCTTCACAGGAAGGTAATACACTAGACATATTTTCTTAGAGCCCAGAAGTTGTAATACAAAAGCATTTGCAATTGTTTTTGAATGCCAGGTACTTAAAGTTCCCAACATAATGACTTATTAATAAAGCTCTCCACTGCTTGTAAGTGAATGTTATTAATAAATCCTATTTAATCAGTCAATATAATCTGATTAACTGGAATAAAAAGGCATCTAAGATCCCCAATAATTTGCTGAACTTGCACTACACTGAGAGACGTGTATGCTGAAAACCAAAGAAAAGCATGCGTTTTTGGATTTGTGTGTGAGAGGTACGATCTGTGCCCAGCGCCTTCCCTGGGACGAAGTTGGCTTTTTGACTCATCCAGGCACATCAGCAACCCACCAGGGATCTGCGTATCTGTCCAACTCCCACCAACAGGCAGCTGCGCCTCCTCTGCTTCACATGCTGAAATCACAAAGCAGCGCCTCCTCTGCCCTCCCCGCCCTCCCCCAGGCCCTATTGGAAGAGGATGGTGGAGCTAGAAGCAGCCGGCTGAGCCACGGAGAGAGAGGAGCAAAGGCAGCTCCCCAGGTTCACCGTCCAGGGCCACCACTGGAGACCACGTTAGAGATCTCTCACTGGGGGGTCCCCCAGAGCCACTACCTGGTGCCTCCTGGGTCAGAGCATGTCAGGGCACCTGTCCCTTCCTCTCCAGGACTTGGAGCCCGCTGTCTACCTCTTCAAGGATGGAAGCAGGGTGCTAAGCAAATACCTGTGCACCAATTCTCAGGTCCAAATCTGGGTAATCACTGGGGGAAGAATGGAAAAAATAGTGTCCACTAACATTTAAAAACCCGCCAAACTCACAGCCCTAATCCTCTTTTCTGGTTGTAGTGTCCACATTCCCTTGCACTTCCCTCCGAGGCACAGGTGACCCTGACTATCCTTGGAGATCTCCCCACCCATCTGCTGCTGCTCTGTCTCGGGACAAGGCAGGGAAAGTCCCTTCCTCAGGGCAGGGCTCGAGGAGGGCAGTAGTGAGAGAGCTCTTGTGTTCTCCATTCCCAGCCCCCTCTCTTTTAGTCCGTCTTCCAAACTCAGGCTAAATCTGATCTCTCCAACTCATTCTTAGACAAGCTGGCCTGCAGGAACTTTCATTACTAAATCCTAATAATGTTTCCCTCAGCAAGTCAGTTAGTGAATATACAATGAGCCCAGGTTGTTTACAAACCATCTTCAGGATTGAGGAAACAGATTGAGAAAGTGTGGGTCCTGCCCTCAGGGAGCTTCCAGTCTCAGGAGGAAGCCTCTGGGTTCGGATGGAGACATTACCACATAGAAGGAGTTAATCCAGTTACTTGACAAAATTATGTAAGTGCTACAAAGCAGTGGCAGAAAATCTCTCCATTCTGGTCACAATCCCGCATGAGAAGCATCATCAGGGACGACCATGGGTACCCACTGTAGTAGCTTCTTGGAAGATTCAGTCAGGTTCTACTGTTAGTTTAGCATTCCGTTTACGATGTTTTTGTTTGGATTTTTTAAATCTCACAATAAATGGCTTTTCTTTTCTTCCTCACCAGGTTTAAAAGTTCTTGGTCCTGTGTTTACCACCAGCCAATTTTGTGAGTTGCTGGGCTCTAATCTAGGGTCTAAACAACCCCTGGGAGGTAATAGTAACATTCCTAAACATTGCCACCCTGTGGCCACATGAAGACATAACAGGAAGTGGCCCTAGGCGGCTGCCATTAAAAGAGGAAGTCAAGCCTCTGCACAATCAACTCTAGATCCTATCCCACACAATTCTAACAACCATAAACATAATTACGGTGTCTCAAAAGCAAGTCTGCAAGCAAAACTATCAGGAGAGAGGTGCCCACATGAAGTCAAATACTCTGCATCTCCAGATGTGATATTTCTCCAGAGGGCAGGTTTTAGGTGGGCTCTTCGGAAAGCACTGGTCATCAAGACTGTGGAAAGTGTTCTCAGAGGCTGGGCCTCTTTTGCAGCCCAGTTGCTACCTTGTGTGTGAATGAGGCTGCTGATGGCACTTCTCATTCCATCAGGAATTTTGACACCTTATGGCCTGTGGGGTTGGTGATATATAAGGTGATATATAAGGTAAAGAAACCCCCAAGCTACTAGAAGTCTGGTATGAGTTTGTGTTCTCTAAAATTTTAGGAATAATGGAGGTTAAGAGCAGAATATATTTATTGAGAGAAAGAAAGCTTCTGTGTAAGAGAGAGACAGAAGGGATCCTGAGTGGGTTGCCAAAGACTTTGTCTTTTCTAGAGATTTTGCAGAGCAAAACTACAAGGTGAGGTGGGTCCAAGGTGGGGGGAAAATGGGAAATCACAAGGTGGGCTTGAAGTGGGACAGAACTTGGCCAACCAATAAGATTAATTGCTCGAGTACAGTGAGTCACATAGCAAGCCTGCATGCACAAAGAGCAGTGCTCTTCCTGTGGGGGTTGGGATGGTGACTCTGGGCTTCTTCAGGGTGATACAGACCTATTTAGACTATCAATACCTGATGTTTATCCTTATGGATGTGGGTACATTTTGTCTTGAGGTCAGGGCACAATGGAGGTGTCTGCGTCCCCCACTGTTACAAGGTATCTGATCTTCAGCACTGGCTCCTTCGAGGGCCTACTCCTGTCTGACTGCCTGTAATATGTCTAAGTCAGCTGCCTATGACGTGAGCAGGGGAAGAAGGGGGCAGGCCTGAGTCAGCTGGCCTCTCAGCGATGTGGGTAATCAGCCCTGGGAGTAAGTTCCTACAATTGAGCCTGGGCAGCTGAGCGTGAAGAAAAGAATGGACTCGAGCTCTGCAGGAGTACCTGCCCTGCCCGAGGACACCCAATAGGTAAGGACGCTCACCTGGGTCATTGTGTTCCCAGCTGGCCCTCTCCTGCCCTGGTTTAGATAGCCTGGTCAAGTCAGACTTTCTTCTACTGGTGGTGGAGTCAGGTTTCTTTGCTATGGGTCATTTCCTTTCCTCACATAAATGGAAAAAAACATTGATTAAACATACGCTTGTTTGGTCAGTTCTAAAGTTTATCACAAAGTGCTGGGCACATGACTTTGTCAGATTGCAAATTTATTGGATGAACTGCTAAGGGACAATTGCCAACCTCCTCACTATTGACAATAATGATGAAAATATCAAGTTTCCATCATGTTTTTTACACTATGTATGTAAGACAGAGGTATTGCTTAAGGTATTATTTTTACCTTGGAAACAGAAATGCAATTTAAATTTAAAAAGGCACAGAGAGTGGAGAGAAGTTTCATAATTTTCAAACATAAGATTTGTTTTTCTATCATCAAGCTAGAAAAGGTAAAATGAAAATTAATCATCTCCTGTTATCTAATGAAGAACAGTAGTAATGATATAGGGAAAGAAACTCCCAAACTACTAGATGTCTGGTACGAGCTCACGTTCTCTAAAATCAAAGAATAAATTTTAGGAACAACGGAGGTTAAGAGCAGAATATATTTATTGAGAGAAAAAAAGCTTCTGTCTGAGAGAGACAGAAGGGGTTCCAGGTGGGTTGCCAAAGACTTTTTAAGGGACTTTTATAGAGCAAAACCACAAAGTGAGGCAGATTCAAAGTGGGGAAGACATGGGAACTTGGAAGGTGGGCATGAGGTGGGCCTGCACTATGGCCAACCAATAAGATTAACTGCTCAGGAGGTTAAAGTGATTAAATCAAGGACAGATGGGGAAGCAGATCATGTAGCTAGCAGGCTTGCATAATGAGCAAAGACTCTTCTTGTAAGGGGTTGGAGTGGTGACTGCTGACTTCCTCAGGGTGATAGAGACCTATTTAAAATATCAATCCCTGATGTTTATCCTTAGGAAATATGTGGGTGCATTTTGTCTTGAGGCCTGGCCCATAGCCGAGGTGCGTGTCCAACAGTTGCAAGGTATCTGGTCTTCTGTACTGGCTTCTTTGAGGGCCCAGCCCTGACTGATTGCCTATATTTATATCTAACTCAGTTGTCTGTAACAGTAATACCAAATTATGCTCATGAGTGGAATTCCAGCATTCATTTAAGTGGTATATGTGCAGACTCTAAAATCGTGGGAGCTTATGAACTAAACAAGTTATCACCAGTGCAAGGCTCCTGTGTGTGATCAAGCATTGTATGTATTGCAATGATTATTTGCTATAGCACATCAGGTACAAAAGGAAGTAATTCCAGGCGTGGTAATCAAGGGAGTATTGTGGTAAGAGAGAGATTCTGAAATGATCCTCCAATGACCCAAAATATTTTGATGAGCAAAACCAAGAATCAATTAGGGACACTACATACTGGAGAAATGCTTGAGCATACCTTTCCCAAAGCAGGAACATATATTTGGAAAAAAAAAATATGGCTTGGCTTAGCCAGAATAAAAATGTGAGGTAAAGTTAAAGAAATAGGTTGGAGTAATGTAATAAAAATGCCTGAAAGCCCATATATCCATTAGGGCTCCATCAGAGCCTATAGAATCCAACCTGCTGGGCCAGTAGAAACAACTTAATATGGGGATTTACTGGTAAAGGTGTTGAGAGAGCTGAAAAGCTAACAAGGGCATGCATGATATAGCCACCTTGGGATTAGCATCACCAGGAAACTACTGCCACCCACAGGGCCAGAGTCCAAGTGTTGGGACTCTCCTAGGAAAGTTGTATCTGTGAACATTGACCATTAAGAGCTGAGTCAGTCTCTCCGGTGAGAGCTGGAATCACAGAAGAGCACGGCCAGGAAGGATGGTGCCTGAACTGAGGCAGAGGGTACCCTGCTTCTTCCTGCCTTGCAATCTCTCATTAGTGCTTTGGCCTAGCCTAACATGAGTTAGTTACCAAGGGAAACTTAGAAAAATAATTTAAAAAGAAAAAGCAAGTTGGATACAACTGGGTACAATCAAGCAACTAACTGCACAATCAGGGTGGGCTATTCCACAAGCAACAAGGGGCCATAGCTGGGACTGGGGAAGAGGACACAATGAACATTGGAAGATGACAATAAGATTTCTGAATTGGCTGTGTCAGTTATACAAGAGTGGTAAGCTGAATAATGACCCTCAGAAGATATCTATAGCTTGATCCCTGGAACCCAATGAAACCCTTACATAGTCAAAGGACTTTGCAAATATCTTGAAGTAGATTGCCCTGGGTGAGCCAAATGGGTCCAAAGTAATCATGGGGGCCCTGTTAGAGGTCAAAAGGAGGAGTCAGAGAAAAAGAACTGGGATAACAGAGCAGAGTTGGCATGTATTTGAAGGTGGAGGAAAGGGACACCAGCCAGGAAATGCAGTCAGCCTACAGAAACTCTAAAAGGCCAGAAAACAGATTCTTCTCTAGAACTTCAGAAGAAATCAGAAAAGTGTAGCCCTGAATCAAGGCCAGCAGCTTCCTGATGCTGTTGGTTTCAAGAAGGAGCCTAAAGAGATGTCTATCTATTGTCTGTTGGCCATTTCAGAACTTGAGCAGTGAAATGGTCAATTCATTAGAAAGAAACAACTTGAAGCAACACCCCACCCCACCCCACTGTGAGCACCTGTGAGTATGGCAGGCTGCAATAGCCCAGGACAGGAGCCACCAGCGTTTACTGGGACCCAAGCCATGCTGGGACCTGGAGTGCCAGAAAACCAAGCAACCCCTCCCCCTCTGCCTGTTTTGTTTTGTTGAACTTCAATATACATGAAAGTATGGACAGCTATTTTAAAGAGAACAAGAGACTACGACAGCCATTAGTGACTTCCCTATTGTCTGGTTTTGAAGACCTAAAATGCCTTCTTCATTCTGTTCAGATCAGTTTTATTCTATGTTGTTTTGTATGAATTCTCTTATGCGAAGACATAGACAACTATTTAGAAGAAAACAAGAGACAATACGATAGTGAAGATCGCAGGTTGTCTAGCTTTGAAATTTATATCTCTTACATTGCTTTCTTATGTCCTATTTTGTTCTGTTTTGTTGTATTTAATTTTACCTCCTTTAAAATAAAAATTTTTAAAAAAAGAAATCAGAAAAATGCCAATACCTTGCCTTTCGTATATTGAAACTGATTTAAGATTTTGACGTCTAGAACTGCAAGAGAATAAAATCATGTTGTGTTAAGCCACTAAGCTGATGGCAATTTGTTAAAGCAGCAAACAGAAGCCTGTGTAGCATGAGATTAACGGGGCCAAATGTGTAAGTTAGAGTACCATCCCCGTGTGTCATTTCCGAGACCCACACATCATAAGCAGTGTTCTCACTCCAGTTTAAATCCTCTGAAAATGTAGTTGCCCCGCAGCCTCCCAGACAGACAGTGTTGCAAGGACCTGCACGGCACACAGCACAGGCAGCTCCTTCTGAGTAGCTGTTTCTGAAACAGATCCTGGTACTCATGCGCTTGTGCAATCCTCTCCTCCAGAATGTGGGCCGCACATAGTGCTTTGCTTCTAGTGGACAAAGTGGGGTAGATAGGACATCACTTCCAAGACTGCATTATGAAAGACTATGGCTCCTTCTTGCTTATTCGTGAGTCAGCTTTCCATTGCTAGAACCCAAAATAATCAACTTATAAAGAAGCTCGTGTGGTTCACACTTTCCATGTTTCTAAGCTACCACTCGGTAGACCCTTTGCTTTTGTTGTAAGTTAGCAAATTACGGCAGGATGCATGGCAGAGCAAAACCACTCGCTTCATCATCAACAAGGAAAAGAGAAGAGGAAGAAACAGGGGTCCCACGGTCCCCTTTGAGGCAATGCCCCCAATGACCTGAAAACCTCCCGCTGGACCTCTCCCCAATAGGTTCCACTTCCTCCCAGTGGTGCCACCCTGGAACCAAGCTCTTAACATATGGACCTTTGGGGAACACTCAAGGCCCAAACTGTAATGTTACATATTCTCTCTATATCTTTCCTTCCCTTGATCCAAGTCCTCCCCTCCTCTTCTTTCGTTTCCCTTGCCCTCTGCCTCTTTGTCTCTGTAACTACTAGATATGTCTGGAGACCTCCCAGCCTGTGGGGATTCATTCTCCTCCAGAGCCTCGTGCCTTGACCATTAGACCATGAAGGCCCTGCATGTGTTGTCTTGGGCCGCACTGTTTGTGCAGCTCTTCCTCCTGAGCTAACCTAAATAATCTCTTTCCTTAAGAGGTCTGGGCAAGCTGGAGGGGAATGAGCTCCAGGCCTCCCTGTCTGAGATCCAGCTCTGGTGAGAACTCTTTCATTTGCATGGAGCCTCACACAGGCCCTGACAGTGAATTGTTTATTTACACTCAAAAAGTAAATATTGAAGAATGAAAATCAAAAGCAACAGGAACTTAGTGAATTCTGGGTGGTAAGCAAGATTCTGTGAGGATCTCGTGCGCAGCATTTCAGAGAGGATGAGGTCCTAGCACTCAGTATTTTTGAAGATGGGGTACACCCTCATCTCCCCGCTGCGATTACCCTCCGTCCTTGGCCCTGGGCCACCTGTTCTTGCTGTCGCTCTGTCTTGCCTCCATTTATTCAGTAGTGAATCCCATGCTCAGGGCTAAATGTTTTATATATTTCTCTCTTTTCTTTGTCACAATTCAGTAAGGAAAGCATTATTACTAAACCAATTTTACAAATAAGACAACTGACACTTAGGTCAAATACCCTGTCCCAGGTCGCAGAGCAACTGAATACAGATCCTGGAGTTCAGCTGATACCTGTTTGACTTAAAGTCCAGCCATTAACTACCTCACTTCACCACCTCCCTAGGAGAGGACTCTTCCTGCCTTAACTCAAGCGTCACTGTTCAAATTCTAATTGGATTTCACTTGTAAGTAGCATTTTATATAAACCTATGTCCCCCCCCCCACTCAGTTTCATTTTTAAAGAGACAGAGTAGCATAGGGTTTCTGAACCTCAGCATGACTGATAATTGGGGGTGCATAACTGTTGTAGGGGCTGCCCTGTGCATCACAGGATATTGAGCAAGATCCCTGGCTTCTGTCCATGTGATGACAGGAGCATGCACACCCCAGTGACAATCAAAAATATCTCCAGATATTGCAGATGTCGGCTAGGGGAGGAGAAGGTAAAATCACCCCAGTTGAGAATCATTGGGCAAATGATACACCCAGTGGATGTTCCAAAAGTTCCCTTCAATTTATTCTAGAAAGTATTTGCTATCTACCCAATGTTAGACTGTCTGGCAATAAAGTCATTTTCAACTACCTTTTAAGAAAGGAGCCCAAAGATGACTTGAAGCCAAAATGTCTTGTAGATGTGACAGCAAGAAATAGCTCTGCGACCAGAACAGAGGACACAGCCTTGAGGAGAAAAGACGACCAGTGCCAGTGCGCTCTCTCTCCCCCTCTCTCCCTCTCTTCCTTTCTCTCTCTGTCTCTCTCTGTCTCTCTGTCTCTCTTTCTCTCTCTGTGTCTCTCTCTCTCCTCTCTTCTCTCTTTTCTTCTCTCCTTCTCTCCTCCCTCTCCACCTCCTGTCTGGCAACAGCACCTACCAAATCATCTGAGAGCTATCACACAGTATCAGAATTAGATTGCTTGGGAGGTTCTACACTGTAGAAATCATGCTGTTTGGGGCTGGGGATTTAGCTCAGCAGCATAAGCGCCTGTCTTGCAAGCCTGTGGTTGTGAGTTCAATCCCTGGTACCGGTAAAAATACAAAAAAAAAAGAAATCATGCTGTTTGTAGTTATCACTGTCAGAAGTCCGAAGATAGTATCATGAACTGAATGTTGAGATTTGCAAAATGACAGAAGAGATATACAGTTCTGCAAGAGATGCTCAGCCTGCTTTTTTGTAATGTGGAATGGAGTTCTCATTGCCTTAAATATGGAAAGAATACAATTTGTAGAGTTGGTATTCACTATTTGACATCTTTAGGGGGACTATTGGAAAGTACCATATAGAGGCTTTGAGTTTGAATTTTCTAATAGTAGACCCCAAAAATCTATTGGGGGTTAGTAGTTTATATTTGAGGTGATCCCAGTAAGCATGGTAAGAAACAAGGAAGTCAGCTGGGGAAGGAACAAGAGCCAACAGTCAGCACTTTGAAACCTGATTACCTGTATGGGCAACCGTTAGAACACATCTTGGAAGTACACATGGACGGCTTACGAAGCTGAATTGTGTGTCTACCAGTACCATGCCTTGCTTTGCCTCATTAGCTGACGATTACTCTTGGGTGCGTAAACTCAGAGCACTTCTGGGGTGCCATTTTTGTGATCAAGCATGTCCTTGTGGACAGAGAACATCCTCTGTGAGAGAAGCAAGTCCAAGGTGAGTCGTGTCAGTTACCTATGGCTGCCTAAAATGTCCCAAAACTTAGTGTTTTAAACCAACATGCATTTGTTACATCACTGTTTCTGTAGGCTAGAAGTCGTGTGAGCTTAGCAGGGAGATTCTGTTCAGTATCTCTCACGAAACTACACTCAAGCTCTGACCTGGGCTGCAGGCATTCTGGCACCCTGCAGAATCCACCACCAGGCTCACTCAGAATTCTACCCTGCACAGGTGAATGGAGTGGGGACTCAGTTCCTGCCGCCCCAGGCCTCCTGCAGCTCCTTGACACACAGAGCCTCCATAGTGCAGCTTACAACACGGCAGCTAGCTTCACTAGGAGCAGGCGGGCAACAGGGAAAAGGGGAACAAGGATGACCAAGCACAGAGTTTTCTTTGTGACTTAATCTCAGAAGTACCATCCACCACTTCCATTCATTCCATTCATTCACTCACTAGAAATTCGGTTCATTAGAAATGAGCTGTTGCATCTACACCACACTCAAAGAGAGGCAGTGACACTGGATCGTGAACAGTGGGAGCCATTCCCAAGGGTGCTGCTCTCAGAAGATGAGACTCTCCCACTAGATCACAGCGACCCTTAGGCGGAGCCGAAGGCATGAGACCAGGGCACTGGCATATCCCCCCAGTGAAATAGGCCCACGCTGTCACCCTGTTGCTGTATAATAGACACACTGCAGTGTTTCAAAAAGAAGTACAATATTCTACAAAGGAAAACATTATTAAAAATTAGAATATTTTATAACCTGCTACAGATTCAGAAGTGCCCTCCATTTTTTCTGTAAGCCTGAAACACTTGACCTGCATGCCCGGCACTGTGCTAAATTCCAGAGACCTGGTATTAAATCCAGAGCAGGACCTGCCCTCAGGATGGCGCCTGTCAGTGGCCATCCTGGCAGGTGCCATCCTGAGAAAGGAACTAAGGAAAAGAGCACCCCAGGGTGGCAGAGAAAGGCCGGTGAGGGAGGTAGACCTGGTTTCAGGGGCCACGACTGCCGGCCCAGCGGAGCGGGCACAGGGATTATCTTCCTCCCTTCAGGAAGGTCCAGTGGCACTCCTCCTGCACACCTTCCTGTGCTTAACCCTTCACTCTGACTCTCTCCCGAGTCCTCTACATCCAACCCTGAAGCAAAGCAAGCACCAAGGACAAAGAAGTAAGAAGCAACAAGACGGCGGTGGCTGCTGGGCACGCCTGGAGCACTCCTGACGCCAAGCAGCTCTCCATCATCCCGCCCACGAGGGCACAGCACCCACCCGCCCAGCGCTCTGCTCCCCCGACCTCCAGGTGCTGCTCTCATCCAATCTGCCTGCAGATGTCAGGGGCACCACGAACACCTTCAGGGAAAACACGTCCTTGCTATGGGAGCATTTCCCCCTCTGTTTAAGAGGAGCTTGTCTTGAGTGGTCCCTGGGCTGAAGTCTAGGACAGTGCCCTTCTTGCCTAACTTCTGCCTCTTCCTCTGTGAGAGTAAATGAAGGGACACCCTTAAAGGCAAAGGGGAAGGGGAAACGGAGTCACAGAATCAATGGCAGGACCCAGGCGCTGCCTTGGGCAAGGCCACTGACCTTCTCAGCACCTGTCTTCCACACTTTGTTAATTTCCTTCTCTTTGATCCTTGTTTGTTCATTTCTTTAATCCTTTCATTCCTCTTGTATTTCTTTTCATTTTTTAAGACCTTCTCATCAATCACTCTCTTTAGAATGTGAGTTGTTTAATTAGCCAATTAATAACAAATAATCATCAATGCAAACAATGTTGAGAGATTAAATGATTTAAATAATCATCTGAGTGCCTCCACTGCAGGCAAGTGAAGACAGCTTGTTTCAGAAAGAACAGGGATAGCCCTGGCTGGAAAGGATACAGACCCCTGTGGGAGGTGCCATCCTTGTACCCTCCCTGTGTCTTCTAAGTGGCACCTCACAAACCCTGCAGGGAGGGATGAGGGCCCTGATTAACAGATGAAGAAGGGAGGTGCCCTTGAGCATCTTAGGGGGCTGAGCTGAAAAACTAAACTCATGTCTATGCGGTTCTAAGTCCATGTTTCTTTACTACGCTGATTCCTTCCAGTCTCCAAGACAAACCGCAGAGCACTGCAAACTACATGAGGTTTCAAGTCCATTTTTTATACTTCATCATCTCTTCACATTCATTCTTTCCTCCTTGTCTTTACTAAACCCCACAGCCAATCACTAAACCCCACAGGCAGTAGAACGCACTCCTTTACCGAGCTTCTAAACTCCCTTCCCCTCTCTTAATAGTCATTTGTACTGTACTTAGCAAGTCCGCAACTCTGGTTAAATCTGGGTGCCCACCGACCTTCATCCTGAGCCCTGGGAGTTAACAATGGCAGTAGAAAGGACTCCTGGGATGTGTCTGCATTTAGTGGGCCTCACCCTGCCGAGGCGCCCCTCCTCCTGGGTACCTCTGCAGCCTCTCACCAGCCTCCTGCGCCATCTTTGCTAGTGCAGTGCTTCCTGGTCACCTCTCTCTTCCTGTTCCTCCAAAGAGAGCGCCTCCTGCCACATCTGCCTCCGCCACTTTACTCCTGTAATTGGAAGCTAGAAGCCAAAAGCCAAAAGCTGATCCTGCTCTTCAGACTTACACCCCTAGAGGCTGGGGCCATGCTCAGCCTTTCCGTGGCCTCCAGGCACTGGACACACTGATTCTTCCCTCCACTTGAAAACAGTTTCTTTTCTTGGCTTCCAGAACTTCAACCCTCAAGTTTTGATGCATCATCTTGCTCTTTCTCTCGTTTTGTTCCTCTGTAGCTCTTCAATGTCTCAGTGTCAGCATACATCAGAAATCATCCTTTCCTTTGGTGCTGGGGATCAAACCCACAGCCTTGCACATGCTAAGCATGCCCGCACTTTACCACTGAGCCACACTCGCAGACCCCTTTCTCTCTTTTCAGTGGACTCTTTCCTTGCTAAGCTCAGCCCGTAGCTTTAGATACACCTAAATGCTTCAGACTCCCAAACTTTCCTCCCCAGCCAGATGTCTTCCCTGACATCCAAAGTCACATTCACCTGCTTCTCCAAGCCTTTACATCTGTTTCTTGTAGGCATTTCAAGGTACTATATGCAAATCCAAAGTTCTGTCACGCTGGTCCCACCTCATGGCATCCCTGATACACCATGAGTCTTCTCCATCTCAGTTAGCCAGCTCATCTGTTCAGCCTAAACACCTTACTATCCCCATGTCTTTCCAGTTCTCACCTCCAATCCATCAACAAATCTTGTCTTCTTTCCCTCTAAAATGCAGTCACAATTTAATCACTCCCAAGCACTGCTACTGTCCTACGTAAAACCTGGTTGTGTGTCTCTCCAGCCTTCTGACAGGTTCTCCTGCTTCTGCCCAGTGATCTCTTCCCTGAGGCACTCACAGTGATTCTTCAAAACCTCACGCCAGACACATGGCACTCCTCTGCTGGAAATCCTCCCCTGGCCAAACTGCAAAGACAAGTCTCCGGCATAACTGACGAGCCTCATGACCTGGCCGCTCTTAGCTATCAGTCTGCCTTCCACCAGGCATCCTCCCATCCCGGGATCCTTACACCTGCTGACTTTGCGGGGCCCATCTCCTGCCGTTATATACATGGCTCATTCCTTTAAGTCTTTGCTTGAGTATTACTTTGTCGGCAAGGCCTTTCCTGAACATCTTATTTGGGATTACAACATTCTACCTTTCTAGCTCCCCCTTTTGGACATTTTCTTTTCCCCTATAGCACTGATCACTCTCAGTATTCTATAGGTATTAGTTTGTTGACCATTGCTCCCATTTGAAAGTAAGCATCATGAAGGGAGTAAGTTTTCACTGGTTTGTTACTACTTTGTCTCTAACAAAGACTTTTTCCTAGCACAGAATAGGTATTCAATAATTGTTGAGTGAGTGAGTGCTTACCCTGCTTTTCCGTGGTACTCCTGCAGTGCTGCTCACAGCCTTCCTTGGTAAGAAGTCAAATATTTCAGAAGCTCCAAAGTGGAACATTGGACTCATATGCTGAGTCCAAGGTCAGCATCCTGTGGCCTTTGGGGTTTGGTATAGTACTAAGCATCCTCCAGCAACCCCTAAAATCTGGGCCATGTTTGATCTCCACACACCACTGTGATAGGTGTGGTATCAGCCTGGGTAAGAAGCGCTAGTGTGTTGATTTAGCACAGTTCAGGATACGTCTGGATGACTGACTTTCTGAAGAGGAAAGACCTATCGTAGATATGGACGGCACCAATCAGTAGGCTCACAGCCTCCATGAAAGATCAGGGAAGTCTCACTTTGCTTCTTTAGAGGAGCTGCAGTCTTGCTATTGCCTTTGGATATCCATCTCCAGGCTCCCAACACAGACTCTTCAGCCTTTCACTGAGATCTTTCAGCTTCCCGAGATAGACGTGCACGGGACTCTGCAGTGAGCTCCAGCCCTTAACTTTGGGCTGAGTCCTCCAGCTCTCCAGCACAGATAGCACCTTTGCATTCTTCCAATCCTGACTCTTTGGGCAGCCATGGTAAGCCTATCTTTTT